GAGAGAGAGAGAGAGAGAGAGAGAGAGAGAGAGAGAGAGATTCTAACATTTATGAGACACAGCAGTGACTGCCCACACAAGCTGTGGTCGACTTCACCCACCCCTTCCCACCCCTCTTCTGTGAACAAGACTAGCAGCTTGTACAATCAGGGAAACACCTCCACCCCTTCATGACTTCAGCCAACTAGGTATCCAGTTGGGAAAGGAGGTCCAGGAAGTGGACTGGGGGAGTCTGGGCCATCTGCAAAGAGAAAGATCAGCTGCTGCAACACAATGCCCACTAAATCTGCTCTGCGCCATATGTGTGTGTGTGTGTGCCCCCCTTCCAAATCTGGCTAATAAAATATATCAGTGGCTATTTATAACAACAGTTTACAGCTATCACCCAGGTGAGTTATTCTCTGTATTTCCTTACAAGAGAAGCATTCGTACCCCTGGAACAGAAGAAAGATGCCTCAGAACAATTTTGGTTTCTCTGCCAGTTGAACTATGCAGAGGCACTGACCACCCCTCACTCCAAACAACTGTTATCCAGGGTGCTGGCTAGGTGAGAAGGTCCTGGGAATTACTGGATCCCCAGGGTGATTTACCTAATCATTTGCCTTTCTCTATGGCTAACCATCAGTGGTAAAATGGGACGTTTTTTTGGTGGTTGGGTTTTCTGAGACAAAGGAAAACCAGGTGCTAACATCTCTTTGGAGCCTACGGTGCAAAAGGTGTGACTAATAGGGAAGTGAGTGGTTCACATTTCCTTTGACATCTTTCTCTTACCCACATTTCCAAATCTGATTGAGTCATGCCTGTATGGGATGAAATCTTGACTTGAAAAAAAGTGATGAGGGCCTGTTGGAAGAAGCAGTGGTGAGGAGAGGCCAATTCAAGCCTTAAAAACAGGGCCTTACAAAGACACTCATTATGTGGAGGTTAAAGGATTGCTTATCTGGCTGCATGCTTGTTGGGATGAACTGATCACAGCTTGGTCTACAAATCTCTTTAGATTCTCCCTTTCTTGGGCACTTCTAGGATTTCTCCCTTGTCTGGTCTGTTATCCTTTCCCGCCTGCCCCTACCTATTGTTCTTTGCATCTGTCTGAGGTTTCCAGTTCGAAGATGAGCTTGTTCTATTTATCTGTGTCTCTCTTGTGCCTGCACAGGCCTGGCACCCAGCTGCCCTTTAGTAAGTGTGTGACCAGGTGGTGCAAGCCAAACCTGCGACCCTTGCTTCTGCCAAACTCAGTTTTATGTTTGGGATTTCCGTTCAAATGCCTTTCTTTTTGCTCTTTTCCTCTGCACTTCAAGGATCCAAATGTCTTCGGCACCCAGATAATTATAGTTTCACATAAAGAAAAGGCTCTGAATGGCTCTAAGGGACTCCACAACGCTTAAATGCCTACATTAAAGATAAAAAGATGGCAAACGTGAAAACACTGATATATATATATATATATTTAATATATATATATATATATATATATTAAAAAGGACCCTAATCTATTAGGGTCTTTGTATTTCCTCTTAAGAAAATAATTTTGAGCAATGCGATGGCTTAGCTTAGTCAGCGGCCCCATTCGGTAGCAATAGGGTGTGGTTTGGAGAGGAGCTTCAGACTAGGAACCCACCTCTTTTGTGAAAAGCGCAGCGCTGCCACAGTTCCAGAGCTGGGCCAACGGAACAGCCTGGCCCTGGGGGTCCAGCTCCCCAGCTTACATCTGCGAGCCCAGGGAGAAGAAGGGCTTGTGCGCTCAGACCTACCTGGAGGGTATCTTGCGCGCTGAATGGTGGGGCTGGGAGTCTGTCCAGCAGAAGCCGAGGGGAGGGGAGGTGGAGATGTCCTGCGAGGCGATGTGGCAGTGGCGCTGCCAGGTTCCGCTTCGGGGTCAATTTCAGTGCCCGGGCTCGCCGGGCGGCGCTCTTTCACAGTGCACTCTGTGGGCACGGGAAAGGGGGCAGAGGTCACAGTGAGACCAGACTAGGCCATCTTGGCCTGGGGTGGACACTTTCAGGGGGTGGAGGAGAACTCTAGAAATCCCAAATGGTTGACAAAGAATTCAGAGTAAGACACCAGTGCGGACCACCGCGAAGGCACAGCATCCCTCGCGGCAGCCGCGTATACAGGCCGATTTGTGGCACCCGGGGCCTTGGCTTTAAAATATACGGCCAGCCTTCGCCGGGAGAGGGATTCTGTGGCCCCCAGACGGGTCCAAACCCCGCAAAGCCAGGAACAGGGAAAAGAAACCATTAGAGGGACGCGTTCTGCTAGCATTTGGGGGTCGAGAGTGGTGCATGAGCGGAAAACAGCGCAGTTCCAACTCCGCGGGTCCCCACACCTCAAAGACAAATTTTACCGGTTGCATAGGAAATGCACAAGATCAAGAACAAACGCACGCATGCCCTAAGGAATTTTTTTTTAAAAAGTCGGAGCTTGTCATTCTAAATGCTAATGGAGCTTTGCTTCCATTAGCCGCCTGTTTGCGGGCGGAGGGGGACGGGAGGGGGGCGGGCAGGGGTCAAGCAAACAAAAGGGAACAGTGAGAATAAAGAAGGCCCGCTCTGGCATGAAGGCGCCAAGCTTACTGCACTCGCGGCTGGTGAATCCGGCGCAGGGAGGTCCCCGGGCACCCAGCCGGAGGCGGCCCGGCGAGGGGGCGATTTCCAGGCTTCAGCCCACCCGGCGGCCCAGAGGAGGCACATTCCCGAGCGGCACGAGGGCTGCTCCAGGGCGAGCGTCGGCCTCTGGCGCCCAGCCGCAGCGAAACTTTGTAGCTGGGAGCGACGCACGGAGGGCCTTGGGGAAGGCTCCGGATGCCCAACTCTGGCCTGCAGCGCCCCCTTGGCCTGGACCTGGGCCCCTTTGTCGAAAAACTCCCACACCTCGGGGTCTGCGGGCCTCTAGGGTCGCGTAAGTTTCGTTTCCCACGGCCCCTGAGCCAGCGAGCTTGCCCGCTGGAAGAGCTGGTCCAGACCAGAACCTCAAGGTCCGGGGAAGCGCCGTCTCCACCTCTAGAAGGCCAGGAAATGGGGATTCCCTGGACGCCCCAACCCCAGCCCCAGCCTCGCCGACAGAAAGCGTGTGCTTCCTCCAGCACGGACCCCCACGAACCTCCCCACGGCAGCTACGCGCGCTTCCAGCTCTCCTCGATCCCTCCCCCCCTCTCCCTTCTTCCCCCTTCCCTGGGTGGGTGGGGGCTCTCAAGTGGAGGCGTTCTCCAAGGTGTGACCTCTGATTTGGGTGGGCGACAGTCGCGTCTCCCAAGGAAGGGTGGCCTCTTGTTGGCAGGAGCGCGCGCACTGCCTGCCCACTGTCACACCGCGCGCCTCCCGGCTTTCTCTTCCCAGCAAACGGCCGGTTACCTAGGCAAAGCCTCGGCGCCTGCAAACACTTTCGGCCGCTCGCGGCTGCCGGGGCCCGAAGCCTGAGCCTCGAGGTGGTAAATTAGGAAGAAATAACTATTTCTGTCCACGCCCCCTTCTCTCTCGAGGGCAGACGGAAGGTACACCCCGGTGTTCTCCTCCCGGCGGCGAAACGTGCGGAGGCCACCGCGAAATGCACCCTTGGGCCCAGGGCTCCGCCGCGGAGTTTCCAGCCCCGGGGGGGCGGGGACAGGTTGGGCGGGGGCTGGAGGAGTGGAGGAGCGGTAGACAGAAGGAAGGACAGGTTCTCAGAAAAGACTGAGAGACGGAGACAAACCATGGGCAGCATTTGTGCGAGCGCACAGTCCCAGGAGAGGGGGTGGATGGGGGTGGGGGCGCGGTGAGCAGGCTCTGGGGGCCCAGGAGTCTCTGGAAGTCACACCGCCAGCATCTTGTTCAGCTCAGCTGACTC